CTCAGGAAAGCCTGATTATTATGGGTTTCATTCTCACTTTTACATTCTTTTATTTTCCCAAGGATTGACGTGAAAAAAATAAACACAAAAATCTTCTTTCCCATTTGGGAAAGATACAATCATGACTGAAAGACAGCTTAGAAGCATGCTGCTAATCGCCCGATGCGCAGAATCGTTTTAGTGCAAAATACTAGCCCTCATCTGGGAAATAAAGAAATCCCCCTCGCACACCCCAAAACAACCCATTCACATTTTTCAAGTTTACCTACAGCTCCTATTTCCCTCCCCACTAAGGAGAACGTAAAAAGAAAAGCAAAACAAACCCCCAAACGAAAACGTCCATGAAACTGTGCTCTATATAAAAATATATTTCAACTGTGCAACACGAGATACTTTTCGGATTTCTTCTCTAAGCCATTCAAGTATTTTTCTCTTTTGCCCCATGGATTGTTCTGAGCCGGCAGGACACCCGGTGCAGCGCACACGCCTCGCCCGGGGTGGCACTGGGGGGGACGTCCCCTCACTGCCAGGGGAGGCCACGCACTGGTGCAAGGGCAGCCCTCTGCGGTGGAGCTGGGCCACCCTGCTGATCTCCCGTCCCCGCAACACGGACAGGCAGCACGGGGAGGAAAAGTCCCACAAGGAGCCCCTGCTGGCTGCATGAAGCAGGGAGGCCCACCGGGTGACGCGCACAGAGCGCTAAGCTGGGACTCCTGCAGAATCCTTCCTCGGCTTGCCAGGAAGCAGCCAAGTGCCGTTCCCTGGAGTGCTGGAACTCCTTCCAAGCAGGGCTGTGGGAAAACGGCTCGGGAGGAGCCCAGTGATGCAAGGGAGAGGAGCGGCCCCCAGGCGCAGTGTGCTGGAGCTTCAGCCTCCTGCTCGCCATGGCCAGGAGACGCTGTGCAGCCTTGGGGGATGCGGGAGCATCTGTGCAGCGGCCGGCCGGGGTGCTGAAGCCCGTGGGGAAGCGCAGAGCCAGCTGAGGAGCCCTGGGGGCTGGGCCAGGGGCACGCGAGCCTCTGGGCTGCCTCTGGGGGACGGCATCCCGCTGCAGGTGGTGGGCTGAGGGGCGGCAAAGTGGCGGCCGCTGGGCTGCAAGGGCTGGATGGTCAGCACAGAGAAGAGCATCCAGAGCGCAGAGCTGCTGGCGCCCCCCCCCCCGCCCCCGAGAAGTCCTGGCCTGGAAACTGGAGGTTCCCTGCACCCCTTTGCCCACACGAGGCCTGCCTGCGACCCGCACGCCCTTCTCAGGGATTCTACCAGGGCACTGCCAGGCACCTCAGAGGTCCTGGGCCACAGGACACGAATGCGCATGCGTTCTGCTTATGCTAATTGGCCTCTCTCTCCCCCTCCCTCTGTGCACATTGAGAAATCATTACAGGGTTGATTCACATTTGACAGAAGTGAAACCCAGCCAACCCATCTCTCATCCAAATCACCTCCAGGAAGATAAATTCCTCAATTAAGTCCCTAATTCCTCTTCAATTACACTTAAGTTGCGCTCTCTCCTGGTTCCTTCTTCCGCCGCCTGCTCCCCCTCCCGGGGCCACTGTGCCCCACCCTGTGAAATCGAGCCTGGGAGAAAAGCTTCCAAGGACGCCTGTGGGCAGCTAGCTGAGCAGCGGGCCTGCACTCTGGCGGTGGCCACAGAGCGGATCAGCGTGGAATAGCCACCTCAAGCGCGCCACCGAGAACGACCGACCGACCGAAGGGGCCCCGTCCTGCTTTGCTTTATGCACAAAGGAAGAAAAAGGCCAGTTAGGCAACGGGAGGCTCCCTGCGCCCCTCACTCCGCCGGCGGCCAGCGCCTGCTTCCTCACCCGAAGCTCCCAGGAACACGCCACCTGTGCCGCTTCCCCATTCCGGGGCTCACACGGACCCATCACAACTTGCGCTGTCACTCGCACACGTACCAGCTGCCCTTCAGCTTCGACATACGCGGCTTCCAAGTCTGGCTTAGCACCTTGCGCCTCCTGGACCCAGACGGGCCCCCGCGCTGCCAAGCGGGCAGGCAGCGGACGGGTCTCCTCTCGGCCCGGGCGCCTGCACGGGAATCGGCTGCCACTGCATGCACCAGATGCTGCTCCAATCGCCCAAATGCCCCCCTCCCCCCAAATCAACACCTATTTTACATCATCTCTACAATGGAGAGGCCAAGCAGAAAAATGCCAGTCCCAAAACGAAGGCCGGCCTCAATGCACCCGCCCCTTTGTGAATCATGCACTCAAGAGGGGGCGAGGGAGAAGTCCAGTCGGGATCCCAGAGTACCCAGCCCTGCAGCACTAGCCCGTGCCCTTCCTCAGGAATGGCGAGACTGCTGCCCCCCGCGATCGCTTTTCAAACGCAGGGAGACACTGTTCATAACACTGAGATCAACAATTTAAAGACCCCTTTCCCTTCTGATGGCTCGCAAAGGCAGTTGAAGACGTGCCAAAGGACAAGACGGGCTCTGAGGAGCAGCTGGAGGATTCTTTGTGCCCGTCTTCACTGCAGAAGACGCTGGACAGCTATCCAGATATTTTAAGGAAGACAGTCTAAATATTAGTGGCAAGAGGTGAAGCTCTGTATCTTAGAACAAAACAGAAGAAAACAAATCACCCGGTTCGGACATCAAAGAGTTATGAAAAATGCCAAATGTAAGACCGAAAACTTTCAAACTAGTATCTAACTTCTCCCTAAAATCAACCTCTGTGTCAGAGGACCGGAAATAATGCCTTTTTAGAAAAGAGATTCTTGAAATTATAGGCTAGTTTGTTTAACAGCTGGTTCCAGATAAACTGATTCTAAGTTTATCTGTAAGAACAACTATCAGGCATATAGAAGGATAAGTCTTGCATGGCTTCTACAAAGCTTAAGAAGAATAGGCATGGCTTCTACAAAGCTTAAGTTCTCACTTGCCTTTTAGGAATTCTTCGAGAGTTTCAAGAAACATGTGGACTAGTGGACACTGTTTAGCTGGACACCCAAAAGGCTGTTGACAAAATCCCATGCCAAGACTCCTGAGAAAGCTTAGTGGTTGCACGATAAGAGGAGAGGTGTTCTGATGGATCCATAAATGGTGGAAGAACCTGCTGCAAAGGAAAGGCATAGATGGCAGCCTCCCAGTGGAAGGAGGCGGTGCTGGGGCCCTTTGAGGCTCTGCACTGGGACCAGTGCTTCTTGAGCTGTGCAGAAATGTTTTGGAGTTTGTAGGGCCAGCAGCAGCATGACCAAGTTCGCTTGTCCTACCAAATTACTTAAGGGGGTTAAAACAAGAAGGGGCTGCGACAAACCCCAAAAGGACCTCTCCCAAGTGTGAGAACAAGCATCAAAATGGGAAATCGGTTTAGTGCAAGCAGATGTAAAGGAATGCAGACTGGGGCAGAGAGAGTCCCAACTTCACACACGCTGGCTTTTCGCCTTGGTGGCTGCTTGCTGCCTCCAGGATCAGGGGCAACCTGGGGAGCATGGAAAGGGGGTGCCGTTACCCCCTTGTTCTCCTCATGGGCTCCCCCTTGAGGCAGCTGACTGGTCACGGTAGACCTGAAGCCTGGACTGGAAAGGCCTTTGATCTGATCCAGAATGGCTATTCCTGCACGGGATGCTCAGCACGGGCAGCTGGGCTCAGGATTTCCTCAGAGAAGCTCCCCAGGCGACACTCCAGTGGTAGGAGGAGCCAAAGGCAGAAGGGGCGGGGCCAAGATAGCAGCCTATTGAAGCTCTTCCTGCAACTATGTGGCTTCAGGAGAAGCACTTCAGTTTTCCAGAACAGGGAAAAACGCAGAAAAGCTGGGAAACCACTGACTGCTGACTGGGGGAAGGGGTGTGGCCATCCAGGGAACCCCGGGGGGTGCAACTGGGCTGGCCCCTGGGAGGACGTTCCACACCTGCAGCTTCCGGGCTTGGCCTAACGCCATGCTTTCCTCCATGGGAGTCATTTTGGACCGTTTTGTGTGGTCACACACAAGTGGAAGACAATGCATTTTCTTTGGAACTCGGCCCGCGATGCCGCGCGCCCGAGCAGCGCGCCGTGCCGAGGCGATTCTCTGCAGTGGTCAGGAAGGATCCTGCGCTGGCCGTTCAGAGCACGTCGCGAGGGGCTGAGGTGCAGCTGCCGTTGTGGGTCAAGGTGGTGCCCTCACACCGGGAAGGGAAGGCGGCGGAGTGGCACCTGTGGGCCGCCGACCATCCCAAAAGGAGGGGGAGAAAAGACCCTCCCGAGCAAGAGAAGAGCCAAGGAGCACTGGGGGTGCCCCCAGCCCGGGCTGGGCCAGCGCCCGGACAGGTGTCCTGCACAGACGACCCGCTTGCCGCAATCACGCATGCACATGGCGGGGGGCTGCATCCAGCGCCGCAAGGGGTTTGTTGCGCCGATGGACACGGGCCTGGCCTGTGCTTCCGCCTCCCCAGCACTGGGCCCCCAGGGAGTGTCCGAAGGCCCCGTGGGCTGGGCTGCGGTGCGGGGCTGAGAGAGGGATCCCCACGAATCAGGCAGTGGGGCCTTCCTCTGGCGGAGGGCAGATCCTGGATCCGGCCCAACTGCTTCCCAGGGACGGAGGCCCGGCCATGCGCTCCCTGTTCACAAGTTGAACAAAAAGAACCAAGCGATGGAAAACTGCAAAGGAAACGAAACCAACCTCCATGCCACGGCTGACCCCGAGGTGCCGCCGTTCCCAACAACGCACTGCCTTCACGCCGACTCTCGCACCTTCCGGGCTCCCGGGTGCCGCCTCAGCAAGAGGAGCTGGGGCCCTCCCATCCGGCTTCCCTGGAGAAAAACAGTACTGGGCTGCTCGGCAGACGGAGGGCGACGGCCAAGGGGGGAACTGGCCGGCCGTTCCGCTATAATCTTCTAGACTACGCTTGGGAATCCTCATTTGTCTTCAAAAAAGAAAGGAAGGAAGACGACGGAGGGAAGGGAGCCCGGGGCCCTCGGTCACGGTGCCTCAGCTGCCTTAGACCTCGGGTTGCTTACAGTATAATGAATGTGATATTTTCCTTCATAAATCTTAACACACAAGCAGAATAAAAATCACATTTTTCTCAGGCAACAGTAGCAGTTCAGTAGGTAAATGGTTTGATCACATTTTCGTTTCGTTTTCTGTATTAATAATGCATGCAAGCAGCTTTAGTATTATGGATCCCTCGCTGGCCGGCGCCAAAGCCACCCCATCCCTTTTCACAAAGTCCCCCCGTAGGTCCCCTCCTGCCCTCTCGCAGGCGTTTCCGGCCGGCTGGCAGAGCCAGGGCCTTCTTCGAAGGGCTGTGCAGGGCTCTGGCCACTGGATGCCGGTGCTTCCGGGCCAGCCGACTCCTGGATGACCGAGCCGGGCCCTTCGGCTTCCTCGTTCGGGTCAAACAACTGGCTGGACCCACTGCTCTGCTCAACCGTTATGGTGTTAGTTCTCAGGGCCACCACTGTCCCGGAATCGCTCCTCCGCTCTGCATAGATGCGCTGCTCAAACATCTGAGCAGCGGAAGGCTGGAATTCGGGGTCCAGGGGCACGGCGCTGGCGGCAGAGCCCATGACGGAGCGGTACATCTCCACCCCTTCCGGCAGCATGGACTTGATCTTTGGGAGCCAGCGCTTGCGAACCCGGCGGGCGTTCGTGCACATGTCAGCCGCGATGACGTTCATCTCGCTCTCCTTGAAGCTTGGAGCAAAATTCTGACAATATACTGCGGAAGACAGGAAGGCGTTTCAGCCACGGCCGCCGGGCAGCGACGGCGGGGGCCCGCAGGGGTCAGCTGGGCTGTGGGCCTCACCCACCCGCCCGCCCACCCTTGTGCCACCGTTGGGCCCCAGTGGGAGCCTCCGAGGCAACATCCCGTGGAAGCAACGCTCTGGACGCTTGAACGACCACATAAAGACACCACTTACACTTCACAGCGTTAAGCACACGACTGTCCAGGGGCTTCCTGCTGGGGTCGCTGGTGGACGACCGGATTCCTGTTCCGCAGCTGTTGGCCAGCGTGTTCCTGTCCCAGGAGGCAAGCGGGAAGCAGGCTCACAAGAGCGCACTCGGGAAGAATGACAGCCGCCCGTCAGGCAACGGGGACCCGGGAGGCTGGCGAGGGAAGGGCCCGTTCGCACGGGAGGCCCCGCAGGGCTGCACGGGTTATCTGGGAAAGGGAGTCATGGCGCGCACGGCCCTCTGCATGTCTGAGGTCAGGCGAAGGAGGCGGAGCCGTCTCCAGACACTCTGGGCAGCCGGCATTCCTGGCTACAAGCCCTGGCAGCATGGCGTTCCAGGAGCGAAGCCCAAAATACCTGCAGTCCCAGCTTCTGCCCACTCGAGCCAGGTAAGGCACAGAGAGGGACTCCGCCTGCAGGACAGAGAGCGGCTCCCCACGCCGCCCGCACGTTCCGCTGCTGCTGCGGCTGCTTCCAATCGCCAGCCAGGGATGAGCAAGCGCCACTCTCAGAACGCTGGAGCCTTACCTTGTGTGGAACGGAGCGGCGCCTGTTCTCTCGAGGCTTGCGAGTTGGGTGGGGAAATGTCCAGACCGGCACGAAATACCGCTGCGCTTGGCTGCGCTTGCTCCCTCTGTCCCTGGCCCCACCCAGGCCAGCCCAGGGTGCCCTGGCTCCCCGCTGCTCGGGGGCCCGGCAGCCACGGGCACGTCCCGTGTGCTTGAGCGCAGCTCCTATGCGAAAAAGGCTCTGCCGCCGCAGCCTCTCCTCCCAGGAAGCGGGCCCGGCACTCTTCCCCAGGCCCCTGGCTGAGCAAAGGGGAAGGGGCGCAGCCCTTACCTGTCAAAGAACGTTGCCAGAAGGCGCCGCAAGAGGACTTTGTGTTTCACACCTGCACACAAATGGCAGTTCATCAGTTGCCCTCGGGTGATGTAAACACCAGAGCCTGGGAGGGGGAAAGCAGAGCCACGGAGAGGCGGGCAAGTCACTGGCAGGGCTAGCGCGAGCTTGACAAGTGGGCAGCAGACACGCGTCCCCTGGCGTCCACCATCCAGGACCTGGCTGAGAGGGTGCTGCTTCTGGCGCCGCCAGGTGACCCAACCAGCAACCCAAGAGTGAGCCAAGGGAGAGCAGCGCCTCAAGCGCCCCAGGGCGCCTCAGGGCGAGTCCCTGCCCATGGGAAAGCTGCTCGCTCGGAGAGGGGAAGACCCCCTGCCCGGGTTCAGGGAACACGAGAGCCCACACGTGTGGGCTGAATATGGGTGGAATGAGGGTGGCTGCTGAACACTCTGCGCCCAGCTGTGCTAACAAGCCGTGGTTTGTGCCCAGCCCATGAGCAACCATGGAGGGAACCCGCGATTCGTCGCCGGGCTCGTCACCACGGTTCCCCGCTATGGAGAGGCGCTGGGCTCTCCCGCGCTGGAGGCATTCGAGGCGAAACTGGGCAGCCCCCCAGTGGGATGGTGCAGCAGCAGGGGGTGGGCCCGAGGGCCTCCGCGGCCCCTTCCAACCCTGCTGTGTTTGCTATCTCAGCTAGGTTCCCGCAGCCCAGTAGCCCCCATTTCAAGGATAACCCACAGTTCAAGAACAACCCACCCTCAAGTCTCAAGTGTGGGTTATGGTGCGGTTTGAACCCAGCCTTTGACGCTAGGCAGGGACTTCCCTCCAGCGGGCACACGCCTCAGACGGGGCCCAGGAGGGAGCAGTCATGGGATGCCACGCAGGAGGACATCCTGAACCTGGGTTTGCGACATCCGATGCCGCCCCCTGGCCCTGCGCTGCTCTTACACTCGTTTTCGTAAGGCAGAAAATGACTCCAGCAAAAGACAGGCTGGAGGAAATCAATTAACATGGTAAATTGTGCTTTCTTTGAAAGAAAAAAATCAATAACTCCCCATCGTGGAATTATACAAGTCTGAATAAGTTCACTGTGGACATTAATTTGCTTGTGACCGTGGAGCAAAGCACACGCCCAGGCTAGTGGATCTAAGTAAGTCACAGGAGGCAAGAGGAAGGGCGGCTGGCAAGCCCAACTCGCGGGCAAGCAGAAGCATGCAATGGCCGCGTTACCTGCAACAAGTTCAAGTTTTTCTCCAGGATCTCCTTCTGAGTAGAGTTTGGGATGGCACCGATAGCCGATCTGGCTGATCAGACTCGCCGGAAGGGCGACTAAGTCACGCCGGATGAGGACGCAGGAGCGGCTTTCCAGGGGCACCTGCTCCGGCTTCTCCTGCGGCACTTTGGGAGGGGAGACAACAAGGAGGAGGCGCGTGAAGCTTCCGCGACCTGGTGCTGGGGGCCAGAGGTGAGCGGGGGGGGGGGCGTTACCTGCATAGCCTCCGGTCGACTTGATGTACATCTGCCCGTACTGCTCCTCGGCCATGGTGTCGTAGGCCTCGTCCTCCTCCTCGTCCTCCTCGTTGTGGTACGACGTGGGGCTGTCGGTGGTCGGGATGCTGCTGGCCCCCGGGCTCGTCCGCTCCCCCTGCGCGTACTGGGGCTGCGGCATGCTTGGCACGAGCGTGGCGAGGCTGGGCACCCCGTAGTAGGACACGCGGGAGAGCTTGAGGGGGCCCCCGCTGGAGGAGGAGGAGCCGGAGCCCCCCGCCCCCTCCCGGAAGCCCCCCTCCAGCGACCGCTTGGCGGCCAGTCCTGCCGCCACCGCCGGCAGCTCCAGGTGCTCGTGCTTGACCCGCGCGAGCAGCGGGATGGGCACGGAGGGGGAGGCGGCGTAGGGGGCGGTGGCCGGCGGCAGCGGGTGGCAGGGGCTCTGTGGCTCCGAGCTGGGCTCCTCCGCGGTGGCTGTCTGGGAGTCACAGTGCGGCGAGCTGACTTTGAACATCAGGTCCGTGCCTTTCTCGACGATGTGCTGGATCTGCAGGAAGCCGGCCGTGTACATCACCACCAGCTGCTCGCTGGCCGCCATGGTCAGCTTGCCGGTGTAGCAGAAGGAGAGGATCTGCTGGAAGCAGGCTGGCGGCACGGAGCCCGGCAGCTCGAAGGCGCTCTTGCTGTTGCCGCTGAACAAGTCCCGGAAGTAGAGGCTGCTGGCGGCCAGGACGGCGCGGTGGGCCTTGAAGGCCTGCCCCTTGACCACGATGGAGACGTCGCAGTACAGCCCGAGGAGCCGCTGCTCGTTCAGGGAGCCCAAGACCATGTTCCCGAAGTTGGGGATCTCTATGTGCAGCATCTGCGACATGGCTCAGCCAGCCCTTTACACAGTCGGTGCAGCAGTGTCCGCCGAGGGAGCGTGCATCTGTGGGGGGGGGGGAGGAAAGGAGCGTTTGCTACGGCACAGGCAAAGCCGGCACCGCTTGGTGCCAGTGGTCAGAGCACTGGGCTGGGATGGAGAACCGGGCGCCAGTCCCACTCGCTGGAAGCTCGCTGGGTGATGCTGGGCCAGCCCCTTTTAACGCTTTTAAATTGGCTGCGAAATCTGTATGTGAAAAGTCCTATATTAAGTTTTGGTGATGTCACATTTGAATGTTTTGTGACCGGCATGCAGGGCTTTGGCCAATCGGAAATACAGAGCCACAATAAATGGATATATTTATTTTTCATGGGCGTTCCACATGTTTTCGTCTGGCAAGGGACCCAAAGCAGCTTATACGGCCCTCCTCCTCTTCTCCACATTGTCCTCACAAGGATCCTGTGAGGGAGCTCAGGCTGTGAGTCAGTGACTGGCCCCGAGTCACCCAGGGAGCTTCCTGCATGGGGGGGGGGGGCTGGACCAAGGTTCCCCCACTTCCCAGCCTGACCCAAATCAATATGCCACAGTGGTTGCCCTGGCTTTCGATGACCCCCTCCTCTCCACTTTATCCTCACAGCAACCCTGCATGGTAGGAGAGACGGAGAGCCAGCAACCAGCACAGGTAATTTCATGGCCGCTGGATTTGAACTCGGATTTCCAGAGTTCCAGTTCAGCACGCTAACCATGATGCCACACTGGCACAGCAGGAGAAGAGGGTTCTGCACGATACCCAGAACTCCTTGCAAAAGGAGAAAGTGGGATAAAAAGGTAAGAATAAACAAAGAATAACAAAGAATATAAAGGTAAGAATAAACCAAGCCAAGTATATTGACCACCGATTCTACATCCAGTTCCTAAGGTTAACAGCAACGTTAATAGCATTAACATGAAAGTTAATAGCAATATCCACCCTTTAAAAGGATTTCATAGATTTAAAATGTACATTTTTAAACATTTCACTGATTTAAATTTTTAAAGACTAAAATGAACTTTCAAAATTTATAAAATTATATGTGGGTAATTTGTGAATGTTTCACTTTATACATACCAGTCCCAGTCACTAGGCCACTGAAAGAGTATTTCCTTTATTTGATTTCTAAACCACCTAGCAGCTAAATCTCTTTCACAGAAATGAAAGTCACAAATAGAGCATAACCAACATCATATAAAATCTTTAGCGTATACAACTGAAAAATAACCTCAGGGTTGTTGTGAGGGTTAAAAGGGGAGGGGCAGATCACACAGAGAGCCTTGCGCTCCTGGTAGGTTATCTGGCAGGTGTGATGAACACCAAGGGGCAGTGGGCCCATGCAGCTTCCTTGGAAACAAAACTCTGTTCTCTGCTCAAGATATTTGGGAAAACAATTCCTTCAAGCACTCAGACCCAGGCTGATGCTAGCTGGGAACAGACTTGCACGGCGCCTTGCTTCTCTGGCCGCTCCCGCTTCCCAGCCTCCTGGAAATCCTACATGGAGAGACATGAGACGTGGCTGCGGGGGGGATCTGCACTGTGTGGGGGAGAATCCGCCAAATCCGGGGTCATGGCCTTCTGGGAAGAGCCCTTCCTCTCGTGGAGGATAGGATGTGGGTGCAACCAAGGAGGCAGAGGAGTTCCCGATGGGAGGCCCAGCAGGAAAATCGTGATGTACTGAAGGCAGAGGGAAACCCGAGGGGAAGGCGCTCGGAGCCACCTAGCCGAGAAGCGGGAGCAGGCTCTGCGCTGCAAGGGGGACGACCGGCTGCTGCCCCCCCCCCCCCCGTCCCCACTGGTCTTGGCCCAAAGCAAGCCGCCTGCCAGCTGGGGCCGCCTCAGAATGTCCGGACCTTAGAAAGAAAGGCGAAAACACAAGAGGCACCACACACGGGCAGAGGATGCGCGTAGTAACAGAAGACACAACCAGGGCTTATTGTGTGTGTGTGTGTGTGTGGCGGGGTGGGGATGACGGGCTCAGCATTTCGGATAAAGGCAGGGAGGGAGATTGCCAAAGCTGCCATTCCCGATCGGCCCCCTGCAGATGCGTTGGACTGCAAGTCCCATCATCCCCAGCCAGAGCACGTTAGTCCAAAAGCCCTTTCACCCCCAGCCAATCAGACACAACCTGCAACATCTCCGGCCAAGCAGACACCCTCCCGCGGTGTCAGGCCACAGTGCCCATCATCCCCGCGCCACTGGGCGGCCTCCGGACGAGTCCGAGGCTGCGATCCCCCGTCAGGGGACGCGTCAGGGGGATGCCTCAAAAGGCCGCACGATGCGGCAAGGCGAGCCCAGAAGTTGCGCCGCGAACTCCGGCGAGGCGGCGGCGGCGGCGGCGGCAGCGCTGCGCTGCGCTGCGCTGCCCCGTCCGAGCCGCCCTGCGCGGGGAAGGCGCCGCACGGCCCGGATCCCGGAGCGCGCAGGTGGGGCGCAGCGCCGGGCGGCCGGTGGCGGGCAGGGGCGCTGGCTTCGCGCAGGGGCGATCGCGGGGCCTGCGCGCCACGGCCAGGCTCCCGTTCCCGGCGCTGGCCCCGAGGCGGACGCAGCAGCGCCCGGCCGGCCGGGCAAAGCCGCCCTCCCGAAGCAGACTGCGAGCCCCTTGAGCTGCGGGGGAGGGGGGGCATGCTGCTCCCCACCCGAGCGGGAGGAGGCGCTCGCCTGCCCCCTCCCCGCCTGCAGCATGGCGCCTCTCCGGGGAAGGGCAGCCGACGCGCGCCCCGCGCGGGACCTCGTCCCTCCCGCCGCCAGCCCTCTGCTGCCAGGACACGGGGTCCACGCGCCCCACGCGCCCCACGCGGCCCCGGCCACTTCGACAGCGGCACGGCCGGCCGGCCGAGCCCGCTTCGCGAGGAGGCTCCAAGCGGCTCGGGGACGCCCAGCTCCGCCACGGACTGGCGGCTCGCAGTCCGGCCAAGAAGAGCAAGTGGGCGCACAATGGAGGGCTCTGTTCTCCCCCTCCCCCCTCCGGGCACGTACGGCCGCGAACCCTCCGAGGTGCGGAACCCCCCAGGGAGGGACACGCAGAGACAAGCCTGCGGCAGACCGGGCACGCACACGCAACCGGAGGCGTGCAAAAGTACGGAACACGCTCGGACCCGGGGACACGCCAGCACAATCTCGCAAACGCAGGCAGGCAGGCAGGCGAGCAGCGCAGCCCGGGCGCCAAGCTGCGGCTCCGAGCCAGCCCCCCCTCGCGCCTGCCCTGCACCCTCAAAATCGGGGCCACGCGCGTCGCCCTCCCCGGCCCCGCTCTCGCCCTCCCCACGGTGGCCGCTCCGTCTCGTGTGGACGTACCTTAAAACTGCGCACAATTCACGCGCCGCTTTTGTCGGGGAGACAAGCCCCCGGCGTCCGCCTCGGGCACCCGACGCGCTCCGCTTGGGAGGCAGCAGCGAGCCCGCTCTGGGCCCGGGGGGGGGCGCGGGGGGGGGCTGCCGCGGGGGCCGAGCGCCCGAGCCCTCAGCTCCGGCTTCTCCCGCTCAGGCAAGTCTCCCCAGCGCCGGCGGCGCGGAGCATCTCAATGAACGGGCCGGAAGCAAGTTAAGATTCTGGCCATTCCCCGCGCTGAACGGAGCCCTTTGAGGAGGGCAGCTGAAACCAATGCCAGCTTCACCCTGGAGCCTGGGAGAAGAGGAGAGGAGGGGCGGGGCGGGGGGAGGAAGGAACGGCTCGGCGGGTGCGGGGGGCGCATCGGTGCCAGAGGAATGCTGCGAGTGTCGGTACAGGAGAGACTTTTGATGAGTCACTGCAGTGCAAACAAAGATGGCAGAAATACTGTACTGAGCCGCTGATGAAATGCTGAGCGCTGCCACGGCGCCCAAGACACCCGCCCCCCCCCCCCCCGCGCCGCTGGATTTATGGCGCAGTTTTGCATCTGAATTACACCGTAAACCGGCCCCTTCTGCCATCCGGAGTGTCAAAGCATTTAAAGTATTCCAAACAGTCCGCAGAGCTGCTGCAGTTCTCTGGTTAACTCTTCCCGGGACGGAGAGGAATTGGGCAGCTGGGGCAGCTCAGTCAGGAGGGACCGGGGCCGGGAGGGTGTCCAGGGGACACTTCTCACCGGGGAAGAGGCCATCCCAAATGCCACCCCAAAGCATTCTCCTCTGCCTGGAGCACGCTGGCGGCACAATTCACACACACACACAACACCCCACACCAAGATTTGCCCTGAGTCCAGTATTAAGTTTCCACAAACGCGTCTGACCCCAAACTCAGAGGTGTGGAAACCCCCTGGGGAGGAGGTCACCAGCTGCTGGCAGGGCATCCCCTCCACCTCCTTTCCAACATGTGTCCAGCCTGAGTCAGCGCGCAACCCCCTGCCGGCACGACTGGAGCCTGGCCTGTGGCGGCGGCCTCCTTGGGAGCAGGGCCTCGTTGCGCATGGCCCCCCCGCAAGCCGCTCCGCGCACCAAGCCAAGCGGCACCCATGACAGACTCCGGCCTGTGCTTACTAGAAGCAGAACCCTCTAGGGCAGTTCTGACAGCGGCTCTACCTAGTCGCACTTACTAGCAGCTGCATCCCTTATCACCACCGGTACTTATGAACCTTAGTACTTACTATGAGTAGTAAATACGCAAACACTTTGGTTCGCCACAATCAAGTGTCAGCACTCCACACTCCACGCTTCCCTCTGAGGTGCCCCAGCACCGGACGTTCAGCAGATGCCTCCCGGAGACTTTTGCCTTTTTGGGAGGGAGTTGCTGCTTGAATAAGAGCCCCCAGCGCCAGAAAGAGAGCAAGAACGAGAGAGGGAGGGAGACGGGTGGGCAGAGCAAGAGCGTGGGGGGGGGCACCACCTTCCACAAAGCACCCACCACCACGGTCACCTCTTGCCTCCCCTAAATTGCTGGGCCATATTTGGACCACCTTCCGGTCGGCGTTGCCTTCTCGTCGCCCAGGCTCAAAGGCAAAGGCGGCCCAGAGGTCGGAAGGCGGAAGAGCCACTCCTGCGGTGCTCTTTTGCAGTCGGGGGCACCGCGGAAGGCTGAGCGCTGGGGCACTCGCACGCCGTGCCCGCCATGCAGGGGGTGGCCCATGCGCGGAATGGCCACCAAGGGCAGGCGGCGCCCATTCTTGAGAAAGCAACCTGGCGGAGTGGTGAGGAAGCCCACCTGAGACCTGCGGCCCAAGGCACGGGCGGCTCACTGAGGTCCGAAATGTGCGTGCTGCTCCCTGGGACCCAGGCCGAGATGGTGCTGGAGACGGCCCTGCATTTGGCAGTGTGGCCATTTTAAACATTAAAAATAGAAAGAGCATAAATTGAGGGGAAGGCAACACATCAGAGACACAAGATGGATTAGTCCCCTGCAGCACTTGGGCTAAGCTGAGGAAAACCACCTTCCCAGACACACCAGAGAGGCTGGGGTGCGTCCCCTCCCAACTCTGAGCCCGGTCTGGGACTTAACCTAGCAGCAGGAGGAGCCGGAAACCCAGGGGCATGGGGCCAATGGGGAGCAGCCTAGGGAGCTTACATTATGTACCAAAACAAGTGGCTAGCCCTCAGGGTTAAAAGAGGAAAGAAGCAGGAAGGTGGCACTTCAGAAATACATAATGAGCTTGGCCCATTTGCATAGTTCAGTTGCCATGTCATTAGCTTAATTTGCATTGCATTTTCGCAAGCACAGAAGAAGCCCAGTTACAGCTGGCAGACATGCAAAGCTTAAAAAATAATAATAATTCTACAGTATTTTGATCTTTAAATGGCTTTGCCCTCAGCGGTCAAGAATCAGAGCCAGAGCTCCTTGCTGGGGATGGGGTCGCATGAGAATATTACTTGACTCTGGATATCGAGCAAGACGTAATGAATTCAGGGTTTTACAAAATGCTGTCCTCCTTGCCTCCTGTGTTTTCTTACATTGCCCAGCAACCGCAGCAGCCGGAAATAACTTCTTTTTCTCCAGGATGAATGCTGGAGTTCTAAAGAAGTCGCTAGACGTCTTTGTGGAGGAAAAAGCCTGGGGCCTGCACTGCCCGCCCCTGCGGGGGGTGGGGGTCTTCATTCAGACAGCAGCCTTGGCATGGCAGGCAGCCCTGATGAAACTCCCAGCCACCTGTAAAAGGTAATTGGGGGTGACCGGCGGCCCCTGAAGGGGGACCGAGAGGGTAATGCACTTCCCATCATAAGGAACCGAGAGCAGATAGAAACAGCTTCTCTGTGCTTGGGAGAGGTGTGGTGCCTAATTTGGAGAATATAAGCAGAGCCTGCGGGGCCTGCCCAGTCGGACAGTCCATCCTCGCTATGACCGATCAGCTGTCCAGAGGAGACCCATCAGCAGGACATGAATGCTACAGACCCTTCCACCCATGTTCCCCAGCAACCAGTGGACTGAAGGCGGCACAGAGCCACCGGGACTGGGAGCCATCGATCGCTTCCTCCTCAATGAATTGGCCCGATCCGCTTTCAAAGTCATCCGAGTTGATGCGCTTCGCTGCATCTCACGGAA